TTACCCCCCAAAGGGGCAAATTTAACCTAAAAGGGGTGAATTTACCCCAAAAGGACCAAATGTACCCCCAAAAGGGGGGAATATACCCCAAAAAGGGACGAATTCACCCCAAAAAGGGATGAATTTACCCCAAAAAGGAGCAAATTTAACCTAAAAGTGATGAATTTACCCCAAAAAGGGGCAAATTTAACCTAAAAGGGATGAAATTACCCCAAAAGGAGGGAATGTACCCCCAAAAGTATCAAATTTACCCCCAAAAGTGATGAATTTACCCCAAAAAGGGGTGAATTTACCCCAAAACCAGATGAATTTAACCTAAAAGGGGTGAATTTACCCCAAAAAGGGACAAATTTACCCCAAAAAGGGATGAATTTACCCCCAAAAGGGGCAAATTTAACCTAAAAGGGATGAATTTACCCCAAAAAAGGACGACTTTACCCCAAAAAGGGGCAAATTTACCCCCAAAAGGGGCAAATTTTACCTAAACCAGATGAATTTACCCCAAAAAGGGACGAATTTGACCCAAAAAAGGGCAAATTTCCCCCCAAAAAGGGACGAATTTGACCCCCAAAATGGCAAATTTCCCCCAAACCCCCCATTTAACCCCAAAAAGGGCAATTTTAACCCCAAAATAGGGGTGTTGGGGGGGGAGAACCCCATTAAAACAGACACAAAATGACCAAATCCGGTCTTTTCCCCCCAAAACCACGCTCCATGTGGGGCCCCCCATAGGAAGAGCTCATTATGGGGGGGGAGAGGGGGGGCAGCCCCACACTTATGGGGCGCAGCCCCACACTTATGGGGGGGGAAAGGGGGGGCAATGGAGGGGAATGGGGGGGGGAATGGACCTGGAAGAGAAGCACAAGGAGCCCCCCCCCATATCCAAGCCCCCCCACACTGAGCCCCATAGACCCCCATTATCGCCCCATAGACCCCCATAGCCCCCCATTGAACCCCACAGACCTCCCCATAGACCCCCATTGAACCCCATTACCTGCCCATAGACCCCCCATTGACCTCCATTACGCCCCACAGCCCCCATTACCAGCCCCATAACCCCCTATAGCCCCCCCATAGACCCCTATTACCCCCCCATTGACCCCCATTAACCCCCTATAGCCCCCCACAGACCCCCATAACCCCCCCATAGCCCTGCACTGACCCCCATTACTCCCCCACTGACCCACATATAGCCCCCCATTGACCCCCATAGCCTTCCATAGCCCCCCCATAGACCCCTATTACCCCCCCACTGACCCCCATTACCCCCCATTGACCCCTATTACCCCCCATAGCCCCCTACAGACCCCTATTACCCCCACTGAACCCCATAAACCCCCCACAGCCCCCACACTGACCCCCATTACCCCCCATAACATCCCCATTGACCCCTATTACCCCCCATAACCCCCTCATAGCCCCCCCATAGACCCCTATTACCCCCTATAGCCCCCCCACTGACCCCCATAACCCCCCATAGGCCGCCATTGACCCCTAGTACCCCCCTAGTACCCCCCCACTGACCCCTATAACCCCCCCATAGACTCCTATTGCCCCCCATAAACCCTCATTACCCCCTCATAGACCCCTATTACCCCCTGTAGCCCCCCATAACCCCCTATTACCCCCCTATTACTCCCCATAGCCCCCCACTGACCCCCATAAACCCTTATTACCCCCCCATAGCCCCCCACTGACCTTCATAGCCCCCCATAGCCCCCCTACTACCCCCCATAGACCCCTATTACCCCCCTGTAGCCCCCCATAACCCCCTATTACTCCCCATAGCCCCCCACTGACCCCCATAGCCCCCCCATTGACCCCTATTACCCCCCATAACCCCCTATTACCCCCCATAGCCCCCCACTGACCTTCATAGCCCCCCCATAACTCCCCATAGCCCCCCTATTACCCCCCATAGACCCCTATTACCCCCCATAGACCTCTATTACCCCCCCAGACCCCTATTACCCCCCCGTAGCCCCCCATAACCCCCTATTACCCCCCCATAGACCTCTATTACCCCCCCAGACCGCTATTACCCCCCCGTAGCCCCCCATAACCCCCTATTACCCCCCCATAGCGCCCCACTGACCCCCATAGCCCCCCCATAACTCCCCATAGCCCCCCTATTACCCCCCATAGACCCCTATTACCCCCCATAGACCTCTATTACCCCCCCAGACCCCTATTAACCCCCGTAGCCCCCCATAACCCCCTATTACCCCCCCATAGCGCCCCACTGACCCCCATAGCCCCCCTATTACCCCCCATAGACCCCTATTACCCCCCATAGACCTCTATTACCCCCCCAGACCCCTATTACCCCCCCATAGCGCCCCACTGACCCCCATAGCCCCCCCATAACTCCCCATAGCCCCCCTATTACCCCCCATAGACCCCTATTACCCCCCATAGACCTCTATTACCCCCCGACCCCTATTACCCCCCCGTAGCCCCCATAACCCCCTATTACCCCCCATAGCGCCCCACTGACCCCCATAGCCCCCCCATAACTCCCCATAGCCCCCCTATTACCCCCCCATAGACCTCTATTACCCCCCATAGACCTCTATTACCCCCCAGACCCCTATTAACCCCCGTAGCCCGCCATAACCTCCTATTACCCCCCCATAGCGCCCCACTGACCCCCATAGGCCCCCCATAGACCCCTATTACCCCCCCCGACCCCCATAACCCCCTATTACCCCCACTGACCCCCATAGCCCCCCCTTGACTCCTATTACCCCCACTGACCCCCATAGACCCCTATTACACCCCATAACCCCCCCCATAGCCCCCTATTGCTCCCATTAAACCCCATAACCCCCCCACAGCCCCCTATTACCCCCCATAGACCCCTATTACCCCCCATAGACCTCTATTACCCCCCCCGACCCCTATTACCCCCCCATAGCGCCCCACTGACCCCCATAGGCCCCCCATAGACCCCTATTACCCCCCCCGACCCCCATAACCCCCTATTACCCCCCATAGCCCCCCATAGCCCCCTATTACTCCCATTAAACCCCATAACCCCCCCACAGCCCCCTATTACCCCCCATAGACCCCTATTACCCCCCATAGACCTCTATCACCCCCCGACCCCTACCCCCCCATAGCGCCACACTGACCCCCATAGGCCCCCCATAGACCCCTATTACCCCCCAGACCCCCATAGACCCCTATTACACCCCATAGACCCCCATAGCCCCCTATTACTCCCATTAAACCCCATAACCCCCCCATAGCCCCCCATAGCCCCCTATTACCCCCCATAACCCCCTCATAAACCCCCCCATAGGCCGCCATTACCCTCCCTCCCCACCCCCCCTCCACAACACCGCCCTCTCTACCCTCCCCCCCCCGCCTTCCCCGCTCAATCCATATCGCGACATCTCCCCTATCGCGACAGAACCCCCCCCTCTATCGCGATCGTGTCGTGTGTTTTCCCCCCTCACCGCTCTCGGCCCCGCTCCCGCCGCCTTCGGGCGCTGCTCGCAAAATGGCGCCCGCGCCTCTGAGGGGAAGGGGAAGGCGGGGGGGTTGGTCCCGCCCCTTCCTCGTTCTGATTGGTTCAGCCGGCTGTCAATCGAGCGCGGGGCCAATGAGAGCCCAGGGAAGGCGGGAGGCGCGGGAGGGGAGGGAGGGTGTCAATCACGGCGTGAGGGAAAGGGGGCGGGGGGAGAAGCAGCCAATGGGAGAGCGAGGAGGCGGAGCCGGAGGCGAGGGTTGGACGGGAGAGACGGGAAGGGGCGGGGACAACGCCGAGGAGAGCGAGGGGATTGGTTGGAGGGGGTGTCAATCCTGGAGGGAGGGGGCGGGACCACGAGAGGGGGTTAACCCCGCGTTGACCGGATTCAACCCTTTTTAACCCAATTTTTACCCAATTTTAACCCAATTTTAACCCGTTTTTACCCTTTTTTAACCCATTTTTAGCATTTTTAACCCAATTTTAACCCATTTTTACCCTTTTTAACCCATTTTTTACCCTTTTAAAGTTTTTAACCCAATTTTAACCCGTTTTTACCCTTTTTAACCCAATTTTTACCCAATTTTAACCCATTTTTACCCTTTTTAACCCAATTTTTACCTTTTTACCCATTTTAACCCTTTTTAACCCATTTTTTACCTTTTTTAACCCATTTTTACCCAATTTTTACCCTTTTTAACCCATTTTTACCCATTTTAACCCTATTTTTACCCTTTTTAAGCCAATTTTAACCCATTTTAACCTAATTTTAACCTTTTAACCCAATTTTAACCGATTTTAACCCTTTTTAACCCAGTTTTTACCCTTTTTAACCCAATTTTAACCCATTTTAGCCTATTTTAACCCATTTTTACCCTTTTTAACCCATTTTAACAGTTTTTAGCCCATTTTTAACCCATTTTTACCCATTTTAAACCTTAACACAATTTTAACCCATTTTAACCCTTTTAAACCCATTTTTAACCCATTTTCACCCCATTTCCCCCATTTTCACCCCATTTCCCCCATTTTCACCCAATTCCCCCCATTTTCACCCCATATCCCCCCATTTTCACCCCATTTCCCCCATTTTCACCCCAATTCCCCCATTTTCACCCCATTTTCCCCATTTTTGCCCCATTTCCCCCATTTTTACCCCATTCCCCCCATTTTCACCCCATTTTCCCCATTTTTACCCAATTCCCCCCATTTTTACCCCATTTCCCCATTTTTACCCGTTTTCCCCCCATTTCCCCCCACTTTCACCCCATTTCCCCCATTTTTACCCCATTTCCCCATTTTCACACCATTTCCCCCATTTTCACCCCATTTCCCCCATTTTTACCCATTTCCCCCCATTTTCACCCCATTTCCCCCATTTTTACCCAATTCCCCCCATTTTCACCCCATTTCCCCCATTTTTCCCCCATTTCCCCCATTTTCACCCCATTTTTACCCAATTCCCCTCATTTTCACCCCATTTCCCCCCCTTTTGACCCCCCAAAATCACCATTTTCAGCCAAAACCCTTAAAAAAACCCAGTTTTGCCTTTATTTAGTGCCTGGAAAAGAAGGGCCCCAATGGCACCCAATGGGACCTCAATGGGACACAATGGCACCCAATGGGACCCAATGGGACCCTATGGACCCTATGGGACCCAATGGACCCCAATGGGACCCTATAGGACCCTATGGGACCCAATGGCACCCAGTGGGACCCAATGGCACCCAATGGACCCCAATGGGACCCAATGGGACCCAATGGGACCCTATGGGACCCAATGGGACCCAATGGGACCCAATGGCACCCAATGGGACCCTATGGGACCCTATGGACCCTATGGGACCCAATGGCACCCAATGGGACCCAATGGGACCCTATGGACCCTATGGGACCCAATGGCACCCAATGGGACCCTATGGGACCCTATGGGACCCTATGGGACCCTATGGGACCCAATGGCACCCAATGGGACCCTATGGGACTCAATGGGACCCAATGGGACCCTATTGAACCCAATGGGACCCAATGGCACCCAATGGGACCCAATGGCACCCAATGGACCCCAATGGGACCCTATGGACCCTATAGGACCCTATGGGACCCAATGGACCCCAATGGGACCCAATGGCACCCAATGGGACCCTATGGGACCCTATGGACCCTATGGGACCCTATGGGACCCTATTGACCCCAATGGGACCCAATGGCACCCAATGGGACCCTATGGGACCCAATGGGAACCTATGGGACCCAATGGGGGGGGGGTCCCAACGCAAAGGGGGGGGCCCCATAGCCGATAAATAGAGCTCAACAATAAAAAAAGGGGGGGGGGATTTTGGGGTCAGAAAGGGGGATTTTGGGTCCAAAAAAAAAGGGGGGGATTTTGGGTCAAAAAAGAGGGGTTTTGGGTCAAAAAAGAGGAGTTTGGGGTCAAAAAAGGGGGGTTTTGGGGTCCAAAAAGGGGGTTTTGGGGTCCAAAAGGGGGTTGGGGGGGGCAAAAAGGGGGGGATTTGGGGTCCCCTTCAGAAATGAGCAAATTTGGAGGGAAAAGGGGAAATTTTGGGGGAAAACGTGAAATTTTGAAGGAAAACCGCGGGATTTGAGAGAAAACCTTCAAATTTTGAGGGAAAAAGGTGGAATTTGAGAAAACTCCTGAATTTTTCATGGAAAATGATGAAATTTCAAGGAAAATCTCCAAATTTTGAGGAAATGCCCCGAATTTTGAGGAAATTGCCAAAAATTTTGAGGGAAACCGCCAAATTTTGATGAAATCCCCCAAAAATTCAAGGAAACAGCAAAATTGCAAGGAAAAGCTCCAATTTTTCACGGAATAACCCAGAATTCTGAGGGAAAAACTTCAAAATTTCAGGAAATCCGAAAAAAACAAGGGGAAAACTTCAAATTTTCAGGAAATCCCCCAAATTTCAAGGAAAACCGCCAAAAGGCCGAGGGAAAAGTCAAAATTTCAAAAAAATCTCCAAATTTTGCGGAAAACCTCCAAAATTTTGAGGAAAAACATCGGAATTCCAAGGAAAACACCAAATTTTGAGGCAAAATCCAAGCATTTCAAGGAAAAATATCAAAATTCTGAGGAAATTTCAGAATTTTGAGGAAACCCTCCAAAATCTGATGGAAAAACCATCAACATTTCAAGGGAAACAGCGGATTTTTGAGGGAAAAAAAACGAAATTTCAAGGAAAACCTGCAACATTTCAAGGAAATCTTCAACTTTTGAGGAAAACCTCCAAGATTTCAAGGAAAACCATCAAAATTTCACTGTAAAAACATCAACATTTCAAGGAAAAGCTTCAAAATTCCAAGGAAATCTCTTTTCCAAGGAAAACCTCCAAAATTTCACGGGGAAACCATCAAAATTTTAAAGAAAACCCTAAATTTTCAAGGAAATCTCAGAATTTTTCACGGGAAAACCATCAAAATTTCAAGGAAATTGTCCTACCTCAGAATTTCCACAGAGAAAAAAAATCTCAGGAACTCTCAGAAGGAAAAAAACCCAAATTTCACGGGAAAACCATCAAAATTTCAAGGAAACCTCCAAATTTCCACAAAAATCTCAGAACTTCGAGGAAACCCTCCAAAATTTCACAAAGCAACTTGAAAATGTCAAGGAAACCCCCAAAATTTCAGGGAAAACCCCAACCTTTTCAAGGAAATCTCCAAATTTTTCAAGGAAATCTCCAAATTCTGATGGAATCTCAAAATTTTGAGGAAAACCCTCCAAAAATCTCACAGGAAAACCATCAAAATTTCCAGAAAAACTCAAAATTTTCACAAAAATCTCAGAATTTTGCAGAAAGCCCCCAAAATTTCTCAGGAAATGCCCCAAATTTCAATGGAATCTCAAAATTTTGAGGAAAACCCTCCAAAATCTCACAGGAAAACCATCAAAATTTCAAAAACCTTCAAAATTTTCACAAAAATCTCAGAATTTTGCAGAAATTCCCCAAAATTTCACGGGCATCGCCCCAAATTTCAATGAAATCTCAAAATTTTGAGGAAAACCCTCCAAAATTTCAAAAACCCTCAAAATTTTCACAAAAATCTCAGAATTTTGCGGAAAACCCCCGAAATTTCACGGGAAACACCCCAAATTTCAATGAAATCTCAACATTTTGAGGCAAACCCTCCAAAATCTCACAGGAAAACCCTCAAAATTTCAGAAAACCCTCGAAATTTTCACAAAAATCTCAGAATTTTGCGGAAATTCCCCCAAATTTCACGGGCAACGCCCCAAATTTCACGGAAATCTCCCAAATTTTGAGGAGAGGACCCCTCTCCCCCCCTTCCCCCCAATTCCCCCCCCCCCACACTTTTCCCCCTCCCATTGACCCCAATGGGACCCCATTGAGCCCAATGGACCCCAACGGAGCCCAATGGGTCCCCATTGAGCCCAATGGGCCCCCGTTGACCCCCAAGTTGTGGGGGGGGCTCCTTCACTTCCTCTTCTTCTTGGGGGGCCCCGGTGGGGGGCGGTGGCTCCCGCGGCGCCCCCCCGGTGCCTTCCTCTTGCGCCCGCGCCCGCGCTCCTCCTCTTCCTCGTACTGGCTCTCGCGGTCGGCTGCAGTGGGGCAGGGGGGTCAGTGGGGGGCGATGGGGGGCAATGGGGGTCAATGGGGGGCAATGGGGGGCAATGGGGGTCAATGGGGGTCAATGGGGGTCAATGGGGGGCAATGGGGGGCAATGGGGGCAATGGGGCGCAATGGGGCATCAATGGGGTCTCATTGACCCCAATGGGTCCCCACTGACCCCCTATGGGCCCCATTGCGCCCTATGGGCCCCATTGACTCCAATGGCCCCATTGACCCCCATTGCCCCCCATTGACCCCAATCCCCCCCATTGATCCCCATTGACCCCCATCCCCCCATTGACCCCCATTGACTCCCATTGCCCCCCATTGACCCCAATGGGTCCCCATTGACCCCCATTGACTCCCATTGACCCCCATTGACTCCCATTGCCCCCCATCACCCCCCATTGCCCCCTATGGGCCCCATTGACCCCAATGGCCCCCCATTGCCCCCCATTGACTCCCATTGCCCCCCATTGCCCCCCATTGCCCCCATTGCCCCCCATGACTCCCATTGCCCCCCATTGCCCCCACTGACCCCAATGGGTCCCCATTGACTCCCATTGCCCCCTATGGGCCCCATTGACCCCCATTGCCCCCCATTGACCCCACTGCCCCCCATTGCCTCCAATGGCCCCCCATTGACCCCAATGGGTCCCCATTGACTCCCATTGACCCCTATCAACCCCCATTACCCCCATTGCCCCCCATCACCCCCCATTGACCCCCCATCACCCCCCATTGCCCCCTATGGGCCCCATTGACTCCCACTGCCCCCCATTGACTCCCATTGACTCCCATTGACTCCCATTGGCCCCATAGCCCCCCATAGCCCCCCATTGCCCCCTATGGGCCCCACCTTTGCGGGCCTCCTCTTCCAGCTCATCCCAGTCTTTGCCGCTCTCCTCTTCGCTGCCCAAGGACTCCTTGGAATACTCTGGGATGGGGGGCAGAAAGGGGGCTGGGGACCCATGGGGACCCATAGGGACCCATAGGGACCCATAGAGACCCATAGAGACCCATAGAGACACATAGAGACCCATAGAGACACATAGAGACCCATAGAGACACATAGAGACCCATAGAGACCCATAGAGACCCATAGAGACCCCATAGAGACCCATAGAGACCCATAGAGACTCATAGAGACCCATAGAGACCCATAGAGACACATAGAGCCCCATAGACACCCACAGATACCACATAGAGACCCCATATAGACCCGATACAGACCCATAGAGCCCCCCAGAGACCCCATAGCGCCCCGTAGAGCCCCATAGACCCCCCACAGAAACCCCATAGACCCCCACAGACCCCCATAGACACCCCATAGACCCCCATAGACACCCCATAGACCCCCATAGACCCCCCACAGACCCCCATAGACCCCCACAGACCCCCACAGACCCCCCATAGACCCCCATAGACACCCCATAGACCCCCATATCCCCCCCATAGACCCCCCATAGACCCCCATAGACACCCCATAGACACCCCATAGACCCCCCATAGACACCCCATAGACACCCATAGACCCCCCATAGACCCCCATAAACCCCCCATAGACCCCCATAGACACCCCATAGACCCCCATAGACCCCCATAGACCCCCATAGACCCCCATAGACACCCCATAGACCCCCATAGACCCCCATAGACACCCCATAGACCCCCATAGCACCCCATAGACCCCCATAGACCCCCATAGACCCCCATAGACACCCCATAGACACCCCATAGACCCCCATATCCCCCCCCATAGACCCCCATATCCCCCCCATAGACCCCCATAGACACCCCATAGACCCCCATAGACACCCCATAGACCCCCCCCATAGACCCCCATAGACCCCCATAGACCCCCATAGACCCCCATAGACCCCCCATAGACCCCCCATAGACCCCCATAGACCCCCATAGACACCCCATAGACACCCCATAGCGCCCCATAGCGCCCGGTACCTGACTCCTCGGCCTCGGAGGAGTAGTCTTCGTCGCTGTCCTCCTCCTCCTCCTCGTAGTCCTCCTCGGAGGGGTTGAAGGTCTCGTCCTCCATCTCCGACTCCGATTCGCCCACGTCGGCGTCGCTGCCCTGGGGGGCGGCCGTGGGGCAGCAATGGGGCGGCAATGGGGCAGCAATGGGGCGGCAATGGGGCGGCAATGGGGCGGCAATGGGGCGGCAATGGGGCAGCAATGGGGCGGCAATGGGGCGGCAGTGGGGCGGCAGTGGGGGAGCAATGGGGCAGCAATGGGGCGGCAATGGGGCAGCAATGGGGCGGCAATGGGGCAGCAATGGGGCGGCAATGGGGCGGCAATGGGGCAGCAATGGGGCAGCAATGGGGCAATGGGGCAGCAATGGGGCAGACGGGGAAGCAATGGGGCAGCAATGGGGCAGCAATGGGGCGGCTATGGGGCAGCAATGGGGCGGCAATGGGGGAGCAGTGGGGCAGCAATGGGGCGGCAATGGGGCAGCAATGGGGCGGCAATGGGGCGGCAATGGGGCAGCAATGGGGCAGCAATGGGGCAGCAATGGGGCGGCAATGGGGTGGCAATGGGGCAGCAATGGGGCAGCAATGGGGCAGCAATGGGGCAGCAATGGGGCAGCAATGGGCAGCAATGGGGAGCAATGGGGCAGCAATGGGGCAGCAATGGGGCAGCAATGGGGGGGCAATGGGGCAGCAATGGGGGGGCAATGGGGCAGCAAGGGGGCAGCAATGGGGCGGCAATGGGGCAGCAATGGGGCAGCAATGGGGCAGCAATGGGGCAGCAATGGGGTGGCAATGGGGCAGCAATGGGGCAGCAATGGGGCAGCAATGGGGCAGCAATGGGGCAGCAAGGGGGCAGCAATGGGGCAGCAATGGGGCAGCAATGGGGGCAGCAATGGGGCAGCAATGGGGCAGCAATGGGGCAGCAATGGGGCAGCAATGGGGCAGCAATGGGGGGCAATGGGGGAGCAATGGGGCGGCAATGGGGCAGCAATGGGGCAGCAATGGGGCGGCAATGGGGCGGCAATGGGGCAGCAATGGGGCAGCAATGGGGCAGCAATGGGGCGGCAATGGGGCAGCAATGGGGGAGCAATGGGGCAGCAATGGGGCGGCAATGGGGGGGCAATGGGGCAGCAATGGGGGAGCAATGGGGTGGCAATGGGGCAGCAATGGGGCGGCAATGGGGGAGCAATGGGGGGGCAGTGGGGCAGCAATGGGGGAGCAATGGGGGGGCAGTGGGGCAGCAATGGGGCAGCAATGGGGCAGCAATGGGGCAGCAATGGCAATGGGGCAGCAATGGGGGGCAATGGGGCGGCAATGGGGGGAGCAATGGGGCAGCAATGGGGCAGCAATGGGGCGGCAATGGGGCAGCAATGGGTCAGCAATGGGGCAGCAATGGGGCAGCAATGGGGCAGCAATGGGGGGGCAATGGGGGGCACTGGGGCAGCACTGGGGCAGCAATGGGGCGGCAATGGGGCGGCAATGGGGCAGCAATGGGGCAGCAATGGGGGGGCAATGGGGCAGCAATGGGGCAGCAATGGGGCAGCAATGGGGCGGCAATGGGGCAGCAATGGGGCAGCAATGGGGCAGCAATGGGGCGGCAATGGGGGCGCAATGGGGTGGCATGGGGTGGGGGTGAGCAATGGGGCAGCAATGGGGCGGCAATGGGGGAGCAGTGGGGCAGCAATGGGGCGGCAATGGGGCGGCAATGGGGAAGCAAGGGGGCGGCAATGGGGGAGCAATGGGGGATCAAGGCGGCGGGAATGGGGGAGCAATGGGGCGGCAATGGGGCAGCAATGGGGCAGCAATGGGGCAGCAATGGGGCGAGCAATGGGGCGGCAATGGGGGGGCAATGGGGCAGCAATGGGGGCAGCAATGGGGGAGCAATGGGGCAGCAATGGGGAGCAATGGGGAGCAATGGGGCGGATGTGGGGCAGCAATGGGGCAGCAATGGGGCAGCAATGGGGCGGATGTGGGGCAGCAATGGGGCAGCAATGGGGGGGCAATGGGGGAGCAATGGGGCAGCAATGGGGGAGCAATGGGGCAGCAATGGGGCGGCAATGGGGCGGCAATGGGGGGGCAGTGGGGCAGCAATGGGGCGGCAATGGGGGGGCAATGGGGGGCAATGGGGGGGCGGCAATGGGGCGGCAATGGGGTGGCAATGGGGCAGCAATGGGGTGGCAATGGGGCAGCCATGGGGTGGCAATGGGGCGGCAATGGGGGAACAATGGGGCAGCAATGGGGCAGCAATGGGGCAGCAATAGGGGAGCAATGGGGTGGCAATGGGGCAGCAGTGGGGTGGCAATGGGGCAGCAATGGGGCAGCAATGGGGTGGCAGTGGGGTGGCAATGGGGCAGCAATGGGGCGGCAATGGGGCAGCAATGGGGCGGCAATGGGGCAGCAATGGGGCAGCAATGGGGCGGCAATGGGGCAGCAATGGGGGGGCAATGGGGCAGCAATGGGGGGGCAGTGGGGGAGCAGTGGGGGTGTCTCTGGGGTGTGTATCTATGGGTCAGCCATGGGGTGTCTCTGGGGTCTCTATGGGGTCTCTATGGGGTCCCTATGGGGTCTCTATGGGGTGTCTCTGGGCTCTCGATGGGGCTATGGGGTCCCTATGGGGTGTCAATGGGGTTCCTATGGGGTCCCTATGGGGTCTCTATGGGGTCCCTATGGGTCTCTATGGGTCCCTATGGGTTCCTATGGGTCCCTATGTGTCCCTATGGGTCTCTATGGCTCTCTATGGCTCTCTATGGGTGTCTATGGGGTGTCTATGGATCTCTATGGGTCTCTATGGGTCTCTATGTGTCCCTATGGGGTCTCTATGGGTCCCTATGTGTCTCTATGGGTCTCTATGGGGTCCCTATGGGTCTCTATGGATCTCTATGGGTCCCTATTGTTCTCTATGGGTCCCTATGGGGTCTCTATGGGTCTCTATGGGTCCCTATGTGTCTCTATGGGGTGTCTATGGGTCCCTATGGGGTGTGTGTGGGGTCTCTATGTGTCCCTATGGGGTCTCTATGGGGTCCCTATTGTTCTCTATGGGTCCCTATGGGGTGTGTGTGGGTCCCTATGGGTCTCTATGTGTCTCTATGGGTCTCTATGTGTCCCTATGTGTCTCTATGGGGTCTCTATGGATCTCTATGGGTCTCTATGGGGTCTCTATGGGTCTCTATGGCTCCCTATGTGTCCCTATGTGTCTCTATGGGTCTCTATGAGTCTCTATGAGGTGTG